TCTTGAAGGGACTACCTGAGGCAGCGAAGGGAGTTTGGTCTTTGCTGAAGCTACCAATATGATGATAACTAGTCAGCTTTCTAGATGCATGTCCTTAATTAGGGATTAAAAAAAAAAAAAAAGTTTTGTGGCTACTAGATCATGATTGCAGATGTCAAAAAGCTTTCGACATGCTGAAATCATATCCCTGAAGGTTTCTTGTATCTTTACTGCAAAGTGTTAAGCTATAGCTATCTTATTTAAATTTAAGTCCAACTTGTGCCTGTTTTTACTTTTTCCTTCTTTTGCTTGCTTTATTCCTTTTTGCATATCTCTGTAATAGCTTTGAGTCTCTAGAGAATCTTCCATTGGGTATAGGGACTGATGGGACCTAAGATTTAGTTCTTGTGTTCTCTTCTGGACGTGGATTAGAGCGTGCAGCCTCGAATCAAAGGATGGTTCAAGTCAGTGCTGCAATCAGGGACTATAGGAATCTGTCATCCCTGGGCATCTTGTTTGGTGCTTGGAAGTCTCTTAGGGCAGGTCTGCTTGGGTGAATGCAGGCACACTTGCACTCTAATCAGGTGCAAGATGAGTCTGGTCTGTTGGCAGTGTGCCTGAGCTGTGCTAACTTACCCTGCAGCTGCAGGACTTGTGTCCTGGAGCTGGCTTGTGGAGTGTGGAACGGCTGGGCTGCACTGGTGTGCACAGACATGCCCGAAGACTCCCTCTGCCACAGTTTTTCCATGTGTAAAAAAGGAACACTAGAGCTTATGCCTGTCCCAGAAATGCTTGTGACAAGCCATTGAGGAAGGAGTCACCAGGTGAGGAGTTCTCACAAACACTCTGAAAATATGGAAGGGTCTTTGTTATTAGGTTGATTGGCAAAAATTCTCATTAGTAGTGTTCTCTTCCCTTGCTAATAGCTTCTAGAAAACTTTTTTCCAGCCCCAGATTCCTGTGATTGGAGGCTGCTTTAATTTTTTTTTCTTCAAAATAAAGTAAGGTAAAGCTAAACATTTCTTCTTGAATGATACAGGCTAAAGATGCCCTTGTTTCTGAAGACAAGATCCTCTACCTTATTTCTTTCTTTTTCCTCTTAGAAGAAGTGACTAACAAAGGCAGAACTTCAGCAAACGGCCCTCATGGAGTAGCCTGGTGTTGGCTTTATTTGAACTGTAGATGAAAAGACCAGTGGGTGTTTGAACTGCTGTAGCATGAACATTACTCACAGAAGGATGTGGAGGCTGATGTGTAGAATTCAAAAGCTTTCTAGGAAGTAGCTGAATGCTCTAAACCAAAACACTTCAGATTTTAAGCTCGGCTTCACGTACAGTCAAAGAGGCAGTGGAAGCAGTGTACTGGGAACAGCACAGGAGGTCAGTGGATATGCTAGAGATTGGAACTTTTTCTCCCATCTCTTTCCCACCTGCTCTCTCCCAGTTTCTGGGGAAGCAAGGAACTGTAGCTGTTTGTCCTACTTCAGCTTGTGAGAGGGCCTGAAGTATTTCAGCAATGAGTAAGCTGGGAGTAGTTGGTGCAGTCATAGAGCAGACTTAAAAGCCTGAGCCTTAAGAGTGGAACGGGACAGAGAGTAGGGTTGAAACTTTGGAAGGTGGATGGATGCTACCAGACAAGGTCGCTGCTGCTAGAAGAGGTGTCCCCCTCTCCCAGCTGCTCACTTTGTGCTAGCTCTTGTGCTTGACTGACCCTTTACCTTGCTGGGTCAGTTTGCTGAGCCTTTGGAGTGAGTGAGGGGTTTGGGAGAGCTGCAGAGGTGGTGCAGATGGAGGGAGTGAGGCTGAGGGGGGTGAGTGGGAGTGTGTCTTTGGCAGCAGTTGAGCATTAGTAAGCATTGTCTGTGCCTTCTTGTGAAGCTTTACCCCTAGGAAAAGCTCCTTGTTCCCTGCCTAATGTCCCTCTCCCTAAAAATCTGTTCCTAGCCTCTGTAATTGTGCCACCACTGCATGTTAGCAGTCCTTCTTCTCAAAGCCAGCTCTATCTCCACTGAGGTTATTATCTCTTAAGAGCCATAAATGAACTCTTAATTCTGTGACTTATATTCAGTGATGAAATTAACTAATTTATTCAATAAAATGTATAGTACTTGCAGTATGACATGTAAATGTGGCTTTTTAAATCTTAACCTTTTCATTACTGATTTTGATATTTTTTGTTTGTTTTGTTTCTCTCCCCCTCATGGACAACTTTAACACTTTACTAACAAACTGCATAAAATGTATTACTCAAGTACATTCAAATGCATATTTCTTGGACATAAAACTACTATTCAGTGAAGTGCCAAGTACGATTTCTGTCAGGTAACTAACATATTCTACATCCAATATTTGTGCTCCTGAACACATGAAGAAATATCTGATGTGAGCGTTTAGGTGCATTACTTTTTCTGTGGAATGGAAATCTGTAGGACCTCTTGTCCTATATTATTTCTTTACCTTTATAAACATTTTCATAAAGCAATTATGAAAATATTTATCATCACTTCTGTATTTGTCTAGAGACTGTATTGCCATAGTACATATGTGCCCTTGTTATATCTGAATGACTTAAATATTTTCGTGACAGTGTTTTACATTGCTTGGCTAATTTGTAGGGGGAAAAAAGAGATCATCTTGCTGCTTTTAGCAGAAATTCAATAGAACGGAAGAGTAAGATCTAATATTAAGGCTTTTTTTTCTTAAGAACATATTCTGCGGTAAATGTACCAGCACTTTATGGAGAATTATCGTACTTAGAGCTATTCTGCATGTCTCTTAAACAAATTAACATTTTATTTTTTTTTCCTATTTGAAGCTTCACGTTTCCTTACTTAGTAAGCAAAGCAGGACTTTGGACTCTTAGACTATGGTGGCTGTAACAATACGTTGTTTAATGTAGAGTGATTGTGTGAATGAACATGGTTTTAATCTTCTAATACAGGAAGTTTTAACAGTTACAGTGCTGACCAAATTTGAGAAGAATTTCAGGGTTATTGCAGTTGCTTTTCAAGTTCATGTTAACTGTTGCCTTTCCCACTCATGATCACATAACTGACCCTTGGACAATCATGATTTGCTTGCATGCTTTCCTAATGTTAATTTTGCATGTCATGTTTTAAGCAGTATTTTAAATAAATTTTGCAGCTGCAAGCAAGAGATGGTGGCATTGTGCACAGCAAGGGCTTTGCATTCTGTAAAACACAATTTGGGCATCTCTTTCATGGTAGACTTGCTCCATTTAAGTGTGAAGCTTGGGAGTGAGGGCAGTCTTGTCTGGCTTTCAGCAGGACTGGTATTAACTCTGGCAGAGTGAGAGTAGGTGCATGGCCGTCAGTTGTCCCAAGGCCGTTTAGGGTACTCATTCCTTGTAGCAGTGTGCTGGTTGGAGAGAGAAGAGGGTAAAATCTGTTTTGTGGGGAAGGGGTTGCTGGAAGCAAAGTGAATTAAGAAGGCTGTAAAAAAATGATAAAGATAGGACTGTCTGTTTTTATATTCTGCCACATAACATGAGTTTAAATGAATTTCCCTATAATTTGTCTTCAAATACCGACATTTAACTCTTAGGCTGTATAAATGAACTGGCTTTTTCTAGAGTAAAATTCATGCCCTGCGTCCAGGCTAATATGTTCACCTACTATAAACATTACTGCTATGGTTACAACCGGAATAAAAAATTCCTTTTATATACATCATAGCTGGCAGAGACTCCTGAGACCACCACAAATCACTTCAGCCTTTTGGTGCTCTCTGACAAAATGAACTGAAATGTAAAACAGCTCGGGCTTCACGCAGGCAGCTCTAGAAAGCAATTAGCTTGTTTAGACCATTGTTTGTACCCTCCTGTATTTCCAGGTGCTGAGCAAAGGTGTTCTAGGAGCTCTCGTGATTGATATAAACGTTGGGTTTAATAACCTCCCATTCTTTCCTAAAATGTTTTACTTATTCTCTGTGTAGCCTTTTATTTAAAGCAAAGAAAAACCAACCAACCAACCCCTGGCAAGGCCTCCCCTCCCCAAAAAGAACAAGAAGAAGAATAAAAAAAAACGAAAAAAAAAACCTCAGGGTCATAACAGGGAATAACAAAGCAGTGAGTTATTTATGCAGCCATGATTGGCAAAAATGATTGCAACATGAATTTGCCCAGAAGCAATGATTAGATCATAAAAATGTTAAGGAAATCTGTAACTCAACACCATTTTATAGATTGAAGAAGTTTTTGTTCCCTACCTTAATTGCAGTGACTTGTTATTAAAGTATTTATTCAGAGTAATCTCTTTGGACAGCGAGCCCTTATCCCATCTGCATGTATAATTAAAAGTGAGGGGGGAGAGAGGGGAGCATAAATGGTTTACCATGCTACATGAGCAAGGGAGGGAATTACACAATGACAGGTGAAGAGCAGATTTATCTCCTGTTGGAATTTCAATGCTGCAAGCAAGGCAGGACACTGTTGCTTGCTAATATCCTTGCAAACACCACAGTTGCTGCTTCTCCAGATTACTGTCCAAAAATCATTGCTGGTCTCTGAAAGGCCTGTAGCGCTGCATCTGTGGCTGTGGGCTTTGGAGCCGTTGGTGCTCAAGCAGAGATATTGGATTTGGGTATGTGGGCTTGTGAATCCATGTCTGTGCTTAAAAATGGACTGTTTACTTACTTGGCTGGCTATTTATTTATTTATAAATAAACATTGCTAGTGTCTGGCTTTGCTGAATACAAATCAGAGGGTTGTAATTGTTCCAACTGAAACAATGTCATCACCTGCCTCCTGCTGCTGTCCCTTTTCCAATGATAAAAGAATTTGGTGCAATTCTTCTTTTTCCACTCTTGACTAGAAAGAAGGTTGTACTTGAACATTCATCACTAGGCAGATTTATCATCATTAGGCAGTACTCAAACACACAGTATCTGTTTTTAAATTGAACTGTTATGGATCTAAATCAGATTTACACAGAGTAAGTTGGTATATATTTGACTCTAACTATTCACTAAAGAGTATTTTTCCCTTAACTTCTGATGTCTCACCTCTGCAGCAGCAGTACAGAGAATGCCAGGAACTTTTGAGCCTTTATCAGAAGTACCTAGCTGAGCAGCAGGAAAAACTGTCACTCTCCCTTTCTGAACTCAGTGCTGCCAAGGAACAGGAACAGAAGGTAAGATCTTTTCTCCCATCTCCTTTTATAATGACAGCTCTGAAACATCTTTTCTCTTTTACTAGAACTGCAACTTTAAGTGCATTGTCTTGCATTATACAGTGTCAAATACTGTTTTGTGATTGGCTTCCCATGAGTCCTTAATACATGGATTGCAAGAAAACAAAAAAAAATCCCTAAATTTATTAATGGGTGAAGTTCATTGACTATGTTGTAATGGAGTAGGAATCATAGGAACCTGTGCTTTTGCTAAGGAAGAAGTTAAGATGCTCTTTGGTTTTCTGTCCTGTTTCTTAAATAGTAAAATAATTGCAGTCACTGCAGATACAGCTTTCAAGGTTTCACTGTGGCTTTTGATGACTGAAAAGGACATTACGGATGATGTATTTGGTCAATAATACAGTTAAAAACAAGAAAACATTGACTAAAGATATAATGTGTTAAATTAATTGGTAAAATGTGTCTCAGATGCATGTGCCCAAAGACTTGAAAACATGGTTGCCTGAGATTTTTTTTCTTGATAGCTAGCTAGGTACTTGATTTGCATCCCTGGAAATTAAAGCTTCTTATGCAAATGCTCTACCTAATGTTCTTACCTGCTTTTCTCTTTCAGTAGGTTCCATCTGCAGATCTCCAGAGTCTATCCTGTCTAAGACTATGCCTTTTTTATAGGTTGGAACCTTAATCCTTTCTTTTGCTGGAAGAGTCTTCAAGGCTTATAATAAGGCTAGAAGTAACGTCATCAGCATAGATTATCCAGAAGGTGGCCTGATTCTGGCCTCTTGGTGGTTCCCTACTAACAGAATTGCACAGACAGATCCTACTTCTCGGGAGCCTGTGAAGGAAGAGGTGCATTTTTAACTGTGTTCAGGAAGCAGTTAGCAATACTTCTCTGACTTCATCAGCATCAGGAATCGTTTTTTATCCTGCTGATGACGGTTCTTGTTATTTTGTAAACTACGTTGCTGGACATTGAGCTGTTTGTGAAGCTTCAAGCTTTTTTTTTCCATTTCCATTCTTTTGTATTTTTATCTGCTATCCATTTTGTGATGGCATTGAGTTCAAAACAAGAACCTTTTTCTCTAAGAATGTATGACTCCTTTGTTCTTGCCTGTGATATGCAACTTGCTGGGGATCTTTGTGGAACACAGTCCAGAGGGGCCTATGTAGTCCAACAGCACCCTGGCAGCTGTTTGGGACGATGCCAGTACCTCTCTCAGGTTCTGTCATGCTTAACCTTTCATCTTTCAACTTTAAATACATATATCTTGTACTAGGTTAGCACCTAGTATAAAGGTATATGGTGTAATCACGTCTACAGTGCTGAAGTACAGAAGCGGAGAAGAGGAAACCTTCAGCCCATTAACTGTCAAATCAGCATCTGCTGGTACAGCAATCCATGTTCATCTCCTCTTGTCTTCTTCTGTCTTCCTAATCACTCTATCAATGTATTCACAGAGACTTCTTTAAACTTCTTTTCGGATTTCATGTGCAAAGTTCTATCAAGCTTATTGATCCCATTATTCCTTTTCTCTATACTTACAGGTACTTTTGTCCACAAATGTAAAATCGAGGTTTGCCTTGACATTTCATTTATAGTTACCTAGTCTACAGCTCCAGCCTAGCAGGTCTGAAATTGCCCTAAACCCCTTGCCCTGTGCAAAAGTTTGTAGGCATAGATAAAAACCTGTCAAAGCTTGTTTCAATTGTTTTTTCTTGTAGCTTGCAAAACTTTTCCAATGTTTCTAGCCTTCTTCTTCAATTTTCTCTTTCTATGCAGTCCTGGTAGGCATAGAGCTGCTTATATCTTGAATGCATTTGGCTTTATAAATTGCTGCCTTTGTATCCAAACAAGCACTTCATGCTATGCTTCTCACAGCTCAGAAACTGTGGAGAGATTTGCAAGACTGCCTCATTGCGTTCCTTCTTTCCTTAACACACTCCTTCATGTGACAGCTATGAAAACCAAAGAAAAGTTACTGGGCTGCTTCTTGTTGAACTATTCTGTTATTTTCACACACCTTTTTTGTTATTGTCTTTTTGTCTCCTGCCTTAATACCTGAATGGTGAGCTCTTAGGGTTGTAGTTGGTCTTTTTTTGTTCTGGTTGAGCGTTGTCTTAGCACAGTAGTTCAGGCAGGCATAGGGCTTGCATTCTGGCGTCTGCCTCGATGGGGAATGCCACAGGGGAACGCAGCAGGGAGGGGTTTTTGGGAGGTAAGAACTGGGACGGAGACAGACCCAGAAAACTTTCCTCCTGCTCTAAGTGCTGCCCATGCCAACTTTCTGTGCCCTGCTGAAGCTTTTATGCTCTTCCTCTTTTTGTTTTAAGCTGGACTTTGAGAAAAGCCACCTTGTTTAAATATTAGGCTAAAGGAAGTCTTCCTGAGTTTTGTTTGAGTCCTGATCCATTGGGAATCTTTTCCCTATTGTTTGTTTTTGATTGGGCTAAGGATATCTTGGATATTTCTGGCTTTAAATCAATAGATGCTAGCTTGCTACATACTTTTCACTTCTTTGAACTGTCTAGGAGAGGTAATCATTGTTTCTTGTTTCAGGTGACTGCTGATGTTACCAGGGCATCCATGCTTCTATGTAAGATGTTGTTCTGATTTTCCTGTGTCTTCCAGAAACACGGGACTGCACAGTTATACTCTATACTGAAGCACTTCTTTGTTCTGCCTGTTATGAGCTGTTCTTTCTTGTTTCTGTTCGTTTTCCCCTACTTGTTTATTTTAATTGATTTCTAATGCTACACATATATGTTAACATAACCTGCTTTTCACTTGTCTGGCTCCCTCATTCTTACTGTACCAAAATGCTGACCATGAGCTGTCACTTTCACCTGGGCTTAGACAGGTATTTGAAATCATCTCCTTTCAGTCTTTAAATGCTGGGCTTTGTGTTAGAATGAGACAATTAACAGGTGAAGAGAACTGCAGCATTACCAAAGATCTGTGGCATTGTTGCAAAAAAGGGTGGAGTTGTATGGGAGGCAAAGGACTGCAGTAGCTGTGTGCATGTGGCTGAAATGCAGCCCTGGCTTGTAGCCATATTGAGCTAATGCAGCTACTTTGGTATTAACTTTTATTTTTGTCTGGTTTAGCATCACCTTACGGTAGCAATAATTCTGAAATCATGCTTTCCTCTTACCTATTATTGCTTCTTCATAACAAAAGTCAGCCCCCCAAATTTAAAGAAGCATTCTGGTGGTAGTGAAATAAAATTACTGGAAAGATGGTGGTAGTGAAATAAAATGACTGGAAAGATGGTGGTGAGACGATTTAAGACAGAACTCTTCGTGGAGTCAGTAATCAGTAACTGGAACATGGAGCTTCCTTTTTTGTGAGATAAAGTTAATTCCATTTGAAAAGATACTTAAGGTGACATGAATTGAATTATTCAAACTGGCCTTCTCAGCATTAACTCTAGGTTAATATCTCATGATGCCTCTGGTTTCATTATAGGAGTTTTAAGTACATAACTTTTTATAATAAATTCAATACTAGAAGCTGAACTGAAATTGGTTTACCTTCTACCAGCCTATAAAAAGAAGCATTAATTGTAAAGTGAATATTAAAGTGGTCACTAAAGTTGACTCAGACAGATTCAAAGAGATAGCTCTTGTGTAAAGGAAGTGAAGAGCTCTACTGAACAATAGGCTTCTGCCCTGATGTTAATGGAAAATACAATCCATATTAAAATGTAGTTAAACTTCTTCTATCAAAAAAGATTTTTTGGATGTTCTTTCTGCAGCTCCCAAATGTTCAGTCTTTGCCATTTTCAGAAGCTTTACACAGAGATGTAAAGAAAATTGCCCTTGTTCTAGATAATCAGGTCTGACCTAGTTAAATAGTTGCTGCTCCACTGCCATCTCAAACAGTGGCAAGAATCCAGTTTACTTTGGCAAGTCTCTGTAGATGTTCTGCAGCATAGGGTAGGACTTGAGTCACAAAAGTTGGACAGGCAGCTGAGTTTCTGCAGGACTGGGATTCTTGAGCTACTTCGCCTAAAAGAAAGATAATACCTGTAGTTTCAGCATTGCCTATTCATTCTAATCTTTGAACTTACAAGTACAGCTGGCAGCTTTTGTTTCTTATTTGTGGAAGATTACCAATACATCTGCTAATTCCCTTGATTTACACAGATTCTTTTTATGTATGTGTTTTAAGCATTGGTTCTTTCCCCTGTGTAGAAACAGCACAGGTATGGGATGGGATTGTACACAGAAAGGAAGATCAAGAATTGGAACAGCTTTCCCAGTGAAGCTGTGGATGCCTCCTCCCTGGAAGTGTTCAAGACCGGGTTGGATGGGGCTTTGGGCAACGTGGTCTAGTGGAGGATGTCCCTGCCCATGGCAGGGGGGGTTGGAACTAGATGATCTTTAAGGTCCCATTCCAACCCAAACCATTCTGTGATTCTATAATAATTTTCAATAGGATATCTGCTCTCCCACTTTCTTGTGTATTATGTTATCTGCCTTCTGTTTGGTGTTTGCATTAATGTCAGAGGCCCTCATCAAGAATGACGTACTGTTGTGTACTAAGCACTATGCAAGCATACTGAAAGATGTGGTCTGCTTTGGAAAGATTGTAAAATGTTAAGATGATTGACTTTTGCAAGTAGACTATTTTTTTTAACCTTTTTTTTAAAATGTTACTATTTCTCTTGAATCACTTGTTCATCTTAAAAAATTTTGACACAGTTGTGGTGTCATATCACGGTGAAGTCCAAAGAAAGCCTTTTCTTGCAAGGACTAGAAAGCCTTTGTTGTTTTTTTTTCCATGTCAGTGACTAAAATTCTTGTCTGTATCATTGTCATTATTTGTCTTAATAAGGGTGATTACATACTAAAGCTTCAAACATTGGTTATTTGATTTATTATTTTTTTCCTTTGAAAAGGATATTGAAATAAATCAGTCTTCAGAAGCCCTTAGTTTCTGATTCTCCCCAAACTTTCCCATTCCTCTTTTTTTTCAACACAGGTCACCTTTAAACACA